CTTATTATTTAAAAAATGAATTTTAAAACCCTAAAGTTAAAAAAAGCTTCTACCCACCTCATCTGCCCCCAGAGATTACATGAGGCAGCGTTTCCAACATTTTGTTGAGAAGAAAGTACTGCACTGCAAGGTGGGGGAAGGCCCAGCCCTGCTACACCTGTCAGGCCTGATTCAGGATCCCCTTCTCCATCAGAGAGCAACTCGCAGCGATGCGCACCTTCAAACACCTCATTTCCTTTCTTTTGGTACATCAGATGGCATCAAACAGTGACCTTCCCACCCTCCTCCCCTGCACACCTCTTTGGTGCTGATTCTCTGTGGATAACACAGCAGAACAATGAGAGGTGCGGGCTGTCGCAGGCATTGTTACGGTGTCTGCACACGACTACACCAAGAGGGAAGGTTTTCAACCAGCTCCTTTAAAACATCAGTCTCAGATTGAAAGAACCACTTGCAAGAAACACACAGACTTTTGGAGCAAGAAGACTTGGCCTAAAGTTTTATGAGTTTTTTAAAAACCTCAAGTATGAATGATTGCTGTGGTTTGGTGGCACATGTACGCAGAGGCATGGACCCTCCACATGGTCCTGGAACAAGCCCCAGTTGTAACTGCTGGTCAGGGAGAGGGCCTACTCACCTTGAAGAGATCGTCTCCTGAATTCCCATGTTTATGAAAACCATACACCCAACAGGACAAAATATCTGGAAGCCTGGCTCATTCATTCAAGGTTTTTATTTTTATTCAGCTATAAGCAAACAGCAGAATTAACACAACATTCAGCAACTCTTTTCTTAGCAAACAGCTTTTCTTACCCAATGAAGATATATCAATTTAAAAGACACAGATTTAGGGCCTGCTGATAACCAGTCAGCTAGCGCTGCTGCCTGCCTAGATGGCCACACCTCACCGCACAGCCACTCTCCCCACAGCTTTCTCCAGGACTGCTCTTTACGGGGCCAGAGCGGGACACTGACACCTGTTAAACCATCTGAGATGTGCTGTGTTGAGGATTAGCCTCCATGTCAGCCTCTGGTGGTCTTGGTGAGAGGCAGCACTCTGACAAAACATCTCAGAAGATGCTGTCACCTACAATTCTGGACTCAGGATCACAAAGGCAGAAACAACCGATCCCTTCTTTTTTTTTTTTTTTTTTAGCTTCCCTTAAAGATTCTGTGATGCTTTACTCTATTACTGTAGACCTGGTCTTTTTACTTAGATTTTTTTCTTCTTCAAATTCTGGGTTGCTGTTCTTGTATTAATTTGATGACCCCATCATGGTACCAAAATATTTCCCAAAATGAAATTCAAATTCGATCAAAACACAAACCAGGGTGTGCAACTATCTAGAATTATGAAGGACAGGAAGTAGGAAAAGTCACCCTGAACCACTATCTGACTGCTCAGTCCTCACCTATGCTAGGGGAGCGGGAAAGAGGAGACATCTACATGCAACACTGAACTGGAGAACACTGCTCGGGGCCTCTGGGGCAGTTTGTGTCTCCAAGCCTCCCCTACTTCCCAGACAGCTGCTCGTACAGTTTGGGCACGTAGTCATCCCACTCGGCCTGGTAGCATGTGCCGGCCACTGGGGCCCCGAGCTCGTACTTTTTACGGAAAGATGCCACCTTGAATTTGCCACGGTGGTCTCCAGATCGGTTGCTGAGAACGGGCTCGTCACACTTCAGGGGCCTGTCCTGCTCGTAAACCAGCCAGACGTAGCGGTGGAGGCCTGGAGGGAGAGGCAGAAGGGAAGGTGTACACACAGCTGGGCATCTGAGATGGAAACATCACCCCTTTTCATCAAATGTTTCAACACGGAGGGATCCAGATGACCCCATTTATAAGGAGGACACTGAGGGCCGAGAGAGGTAGAACGAGCCAGGTCACTCGCTCGCTGAAAATCACCCAATGGCTCCCTGCTGCAACTCTGTCAAGTACAAACCCTTCGTTCCAGCCTCTAATGACCTGCAGGATCCGGCCTCTGCCCACCCCTCGAGCGAAGAAGTCTCCTTTGGCTCCTCCTTCATCCCACTCCAGACTCCCTGCCTAGTTCAAGTCACCCCCCGCCAGCCCCACCAGAATGCCCAATTTGCTCCTGTCAGCTGTGAGAACAGATGAAGGACACAGCAGATCACCAACCCAGTGCCCATCATACCAGTCAAGCCTACACAGGGTAAAGGAGAACATTTTCTTTCTACCCCAAAATTTACTTCCTTAGAAGACTGGAGACCTGCTTTGAAGTGACCCAAACTCACTTTAACCAACTAAGTGGCAAAAAATGTTTTAAAACCAGCTGGCAAGCACCCTATTAACTATGCAGTTTTCTATTAGCTTCAATTAAGTACTGGATGCAAATAGGTACTATGAGCTTTTATTTCAGAAAAAAGTTATTTTATTTTATTTTTTAGAGACAAAAGTCTAGCTCTGTAGCCCAGGCTGAGGTGCTGTAGTGTGATCATAGCTCACTGCAGCCTTGAACTCATGGGCTCAAGCAGTCCTCCTGCCTCAGCCTCCCAACTTGGTAGGACTACAGGTGCATGCCAGCACACCGAACTAATTTTTTTTTTTCCACTTTTTGTAGAGACAGGATCTTGCTATGTTGCCCAGGCCGGTCTTGAACTCCTGGCCTCAAGCAATCCTCCGAAAACGCTGAGATTACAGGCATGAGCCACTGCACCCAGCCAAAAAAGTTATTTTTTAAAAGTTGTTTAAATATTTGTACACCCACGTTCAATGCACTACTATTCACAATAGCCAAGAAATGGAAGCAACTCAAATGTCTACCAATGGATGAATGGATAAACACAATGTGGTTTATACGTACAATGGAATATTATCCAGCCTTAAAAAGAAAGGAAATTCTGACACATGCTACAACAGCGCTGAACCTTGAGGAGACCATGCTAAGTGAAAAAGCAGTCACAAAAAGACAAATACTGTACAATTCCAAGAGGTATCTAAAGTCCTCAAACACACTGAAAACAGAAAGCAGAAATGGTGGCTGCCAGGGACTGGGAAGGGGGAATGGGGAGCTGTCATTCGATAGGCTGGGACAGAGTTTGTTTTGGGAAGATGAACAAGGTCTAGAGATCTATTTCACAACAATGTGAATGTAGTTAACACTACTGTTCTGTACACTTAAAAATGGTTAAGATGGTGAATTTTATGTTACATGTTTTTACCACATTTAAAGGTTATTTAAAAAGCAAGTTAAAAAGATACAGCAATGGTCAAAAAGAAGAGGCCCAAAATCATTAGTCACTAGGGTGATGGACAATAAAACAACATGGTACCATTTTACACACTGGAATGTCTAAAATCGTAAGACTGACATCACCTAATCCTGACATGGAGCTACGTGAATCATATACGGATCTACTTTACCTTTCATATTCTACTGATTAGGTGTAAAGTTTCCAAACGTTCTGGAGAACTCTTGAGCAACTTCTACGAACCCAGCAATCCTACTCCAAGGTGTTCACCCAAGAGAAATGGAAACACCCGCCCACAAAGTGACAAGAATGTATAGGGCAGCATCATTCGTAATGTCCAAATACTGGAAACAACCCAAATGCCCCTGAGCAGGAGGATGGATAAACAAACTGTGGCATACTCACACAAGGAAATACTGCTCAACAACAAAAAGGAACGATGACTGATACGATCTGTGGATAAATCTCACAGACATTATCTTAAAAGAGACCAGTCACCAAAAAAAAAAAAAAAAAAACCAAACAAAAAAGCGCATGCTACAAGATACTACTTATGAATACAGGAACAGCAGAAGTATTCTGTGGAGACAGCAGTCAGAAAGACGGTTAGCTCTGGGGGAATTTAAGTAACAAAGTCACAAGAGAGATTTGTGGGGTGATCTTTATCTTTCTAATGGTTGGTGCTTACATGGGTAAATGTATTGATCAAACTCATTGACTGAACCTTTATCATCTGTGCATTTTATTATATGTAAGTTATACCTTAGTTAAAGAATATGGAAAAAAGAAAAAAAAAAACTGAGTTACTAAGGCTTTTTTTTTAATGAGAACAAAGCTCCTACTTGAGAGAACAGGTTTATTCTCATGTGTACACTTCCCATAATTAAACTGCCTAATTTTATAACTGCCCTAGAGAACTTAATAGATCCCTGAGAAACCTGTCCCTTTACCTTCCTGTTATGAATGCATGAGAGGGCTCGAAGCCACGTGAAGCTTCTGAATCGACCGATAAAACATGAGCCCATGACCAACCGTCCTTGTCAAGGCCCTTCTTGCACCCCTTCGTACCAACTCACGGCTGGACAATGTGTACAAAAGCTAGTATTCTGCCACGCTCCATCTGCTGCTACTGCCTCCTTGTTCCAGCAAATGGAAACATCCTGTAATGCATGTAGGCAATAATGCATCTCCTACCACCAGCTTAGGCAGCATTTCTCCAACTCAGAGAGTTTCAATATAGTAGTCTCTCTCTTTATGTATCTTTCATATATCTACATACATTTTACATATACATTAACAGGATACAAGACAGTGTATCTTCAATAAAGTTCTACTAAAACCTTCCAAATCTTCTCAAGATACCAAAGTAGATTTTTTGAGAAAGAGGGAGCTATAAAGAGAAATGCAAGGCTATTTTTTTTATAATTAATTTGGAAGCTATGATCATTTCTGACACTTTTTGCAGGAATTAGAAGCTCAAAGATTATACAGGGCAAAGGTAGCATATAGACGTGATGTGGCTTAACTGTGTTCAACCCATGTGCAGCCCACCCAGAAAGCCATTCTAAGCATTCTGCAACGTCGCTTCCTCTCACCGACTTCTCCCCTTGCTAAAGGCCTAGGCGCCGAGAAGCAATTCTAACAGAGGGTCCATCTGTCTAGAACCCAAGTTCTAGCCACTTGATGCTCCTGCAGGTCTGAACATGCTCTGGAAGGCAACTGCCCTGGAGGTGAGCAGAGCTGCTTTCTACCTCCAGTAGGGTAAGGACTCTCATAAATAAAAGAAAAACGCTCTGGGCCAATCCTGGTGTGCACCTGAGCTCCCTCCGGCCTCCCGCCAAATGCAGCCTCTACTGACCTGTGCCCTTGGGAGGCCCCGAGCCCACATAATCAGAGAGGACTGTGCCACTGCTGATGTTGTTGCCCTTCATGTTGACCACCAGAAAATGGTGCCATTCCCTGTGAGGAAGAACAGGGGACTGTCAGCACTACAGGAGATTAGCGTGCATTCACTGCACGGCCTGCAAATGTGCATCGAGCACACACTCGGTGCCAAAATTCAGCAATGAACAAGACAGAAGGGCCCTGGTTTCTTGGCCAGAGCAAAGTTCGTCTGTCTGGAGAAGAGAGAACCCAGCCCCACCCTCCCCCCGACATTTTCTAGGGCAGGAGTCAGCAAAGTTTCTGCAAAAGGCCAGAGAGTGCATGTTTTAGGCTTTATGGACCATACTGTCTCTGTTGCAACTACTCAACTCTCCCGTGGCAGCGTGAAAGCAGCCACAGAGGAGACATAAATAAGTTACCATGGCTGTGTTCCAATATAACTTCATTTACAGATACTGGAATTTAAATTTCATATAATTTTCCCATGTCACAAAGTACTCCTTATTTCCATTTTTTCCCAATCATTTAAAAATGTAAAAACCATTCTTAGCTCATGGGGCTGTACAAAAACAGGCCACAGGTGGACCTGGCTCTCGGGTGTAATTTATAGACTCCTGCTCTAGGGAAAAAAAGGGTAGGAAAATGCACATTCTAGCTGAAGCATGGGCATGGACATCCCAAACCAGGTCCCCTTCTCCACGTCCAGCAAGGGACTTAACCAGGTAAGTTATGCTTGCACTAGGTGCTCTTCTCCGCCTTTCCCTAACTCACCTGTATTTGGGATCCTTCCTGCTGGGAGCATCCGGGTCAGTCAGGACCAAGGTATAGAGTTTACCTGGATCAAGACCATCCCAAGTGATGCTTGTGGGTCTGTTCTGAACCTGAAGGAAGGAACCAGTTTGGAAGTGAAAAGTCAGAAATGCTGAAAGAAGAAATGAAGAAACCAACAGTCTTCCAATGACCTCAGTCTCCTCCAAGGTAAAACAGATTATTAATAAAAGTTACCCTGCATAGATGCTATGAGAGTCAGGAGCTGACGTTTTATATACGTTATTTATTTTAGTCCCAACAATGTCTGGGGCTAGGATCCCAGAATGTCATTAACAGAAAGAGGTGGGGCCAGGATTCCAACCGCTCATTGTCTGGAACTGGCAGGGTCTCTGGATTTGGTGACCTGGAGGTTAATTGGGACCTGCTAATTGAAAATCTGCATTAACTGGATATTTAAAAATGCACAGAAAATGAGAAAGCCAAGGTGCTGAGGGGTTGGCAGGGAGTTTGGGAACCGGGAGACTGTGTCAGCCTCCAAGACTGGCACTTCATATTTAAACATCGAAAACACCCAACAGTCAGGGAAGTTTATTCGCACAGTTGCCCCGAGCTTCCTAACCAACAAGGAGCAATGGTGTCGGGAAATCTACTTTCTCCACTTTCAGCGGCCAGAAGCCTGGGCGTCAGAGGCCAAACGGCAGAATAGAGCCGTTGCCCCCAGACCTCCCAGCTGCAGAACGCACTGGCCCCCGGGTGGCTGCTCGCTCCTGACCCCTGAACAAAGGCGAAATCGCTGGGCGATGCCAGTTACATAATGCGTCATGGGCTCTCGGGTGGGGCTTTTAGTCTCCAAAATGAGGCCTAAAAATGCTAGACCCGAGGGGAGGCTCTGGGGGCGTCCGAGGGACCACAGCCTACTCCGACCCGGGCACGGCCCCCTCCCCAGCCCTGTCTCTGGGGTCCGAACTGTTTCCCGGCCTAGGCCCCTCCCTGGGTCTCCAAGCCCCGCAAAAGTGGGTCGATTTCTCCCGCAAGCCGAGCCAGGCCCACCACGCCCCAAGCCGGGTTCCCGGTGCTCAGGGAGGCCCCCAGGTCTGCGACCTGGACATCGCGCGACCCCTGCCTTCGGGGGCTGCTGGAACGTCCCCCGCCACCCTCCCGGTCTCCGCCGGGTCCCACGAAGGCGGCCCGCACAGGCCTCCCTCCCAGCCTCGGGCCGCTGCACGGCCGCCGCCCGGAGGTACCTGGGTGGGTGTCAGCACTTTGCCCAGCTCGTCCACCGCCGCCCCGGAGTAGGTGACCTGCAGCGGGTGCTGCGGGCGCTCGTCCACTTCCTGCAGGCTCAGGGGCCCGGACCACTTGCTGAGGTCCACCGGCATGGCGAGGCCGAGCGGGGGGCGTGCAGCCGGGAGTGCCACGGAAAGCCAGGCGCTGGGGTCAAAAGCTGCAGCGGGGTTCCCCAACGATCCGCAAACTGGCCAGAGGTGGCTCAGGCCCAGTGACCACGCGATCGCTTGCGCATGCGCATGCGCCGCCGTCCGCCGGCCCGCCCACCTCCTGGCGCCCTCTGATTGGTCGAACCGGGCAACGTGGGGCGCCTCTCGCTCCCCGGTCAATGCAACCTGCTGCGAGCCGCAGCCGACCAACGGTGGCTCGGTCTGCAAGACCGTGTTTCAAGAGGTGCAGTTGCGCTCCCCTTGATTGCTTTTTGGCTTCCTTACCTCTTTGCATGATTCTTTGCTCCACTTTCTCAATTCAGAAACCGTAAGGCCTTGCTTTTCTCTTGCAATTCTTAACACGAGGCCCATGCCCCTCGCTTCCCTGTATTTTTGCGCGTGCTCGCGTGTTGTTTTGGTAGTCGCCTGGTGAGAGCGCCTGTGCGAACTTTCGAGCATTTTTTTCACGGACAGATATATTTACACATATGTATGATTCCCCCACCCACTACTTAGTCTTCACAAGATTCCTGAGAAATGACTGTTTTGGGGAGAAATTTTCCAAACAGTAATTATTATTCCTAACCAAACTGCTCTCTCCCTGTGGCCACCAACTGGTTTCTTTTTGCTGGATATAAGGAGCATTATTTAATAGTTCTTATCTGATTTGACCTTCAGGAAACCTTTGGCATGGGTAACTCCTCTCATGGAATAAAAAGTTGTCTCTTGTTTTCAATTCTTGGCAGAAAATAATACAAGTTCATTGTAGAAAATTCAAAGAAAGAAATGAAAAATCCCTTCTATTACGGTAGTTAGATTTAAACGTTGGTAATAATTTGAGGTATATCTTTCCAATGGAAAAAATAATATGAGTATACATGATTTTATTGTTTATTTACCCAAAAAGTTACATTTTACCCTACCATTATAAAATATCCATATCAAAAATAAATCTTCAATATTTTAATGGCTTCTGCTCTAGATGCACCATAATTTATTCAACAAACTTCTTGATATTGGAGATTTACTGTTTTGGTTTTTTTCCCTTTTACAACCACTAAAATGAACACCCTTATACATATATCCTGAAACGTTTGGTGGTCTGAGTGTGGTGGCGCATGCCTGTAGTCCCAGCTATTCAGGAGGCTGAGGCAAGAGGATGGCTTGAGCCCAGGAGTTCAAGGTTGCCATAAGCTGTGATGCGCCACTGTACTCCAGTCCAGCCTTGGATTGGGGCTTTTATTAATTTATTCGGTCAAAGACTATGTAGTTTAAGGGGATGAATCACAGCTGGTTAAGTGTCAGAGTCCAGACTGGAATCGATACCTTCAGTCACGGAGGACTGATAGGATTATTGGTTCTTTCTTTTATGAATGCGCTTTGAGAACCTTGTGAGCAAAAGGAGAAACAATCTCCACCCTCATGGAGCATATAGTCTAGCAGTGGAGAGACATTAATCGAATGACATTGAGTAAATTGAAAATTACAGCTGGGTGTGGTGGCAAGTGCCTGTATTCTCACCTACTCCAAAGGATCACTTGAGCCCAGGAGTTTGAAGCTAGCCTGGACAACATAGTAAGAACCCTCTCTAAAAAAAAAAAAAGAAGAAGAAAAGAAAAGAAAAAAATATTACAAAAGCACTAGGGAGAGAAGACAGGCCCAGGCTGTGAGTTGGCATCAGGGAACAACCTGAACAGAGTCTGCAGCTAACTCTGCATGTGACTTCAGGAAAGTCATATTCAGGCTTAGGGCAGGGATGATGCTGTGAGCAGGTAGGTGCTGGATGCTAACTCCTTTGGAAAGGTGGAAAGAAATTCCAGGTATTTCTGCTCCTGCTACCATTCTTACCCCTTCTCTGCCCCAACGGGCAGTTGGTCACCAGGCCTATAAATTCAACCTCCTCAATGCCCCTGGATGGGTCTGCTTCTCTCCCCTGCAACTGTCCCCTCCCTATGAGGGCACCTGATATCACTCACCTTGACCACTACTTCTGGTCTTCCTCCCTTCTAGCCCATCCTCCAGATCTTTCTCAGATGTAAATCAAGTGAGTCCACACATTGTTCCCTGCCCCCAACTTTAAGCCCTCTGTGGCTCCCTGTTGCCTCCAGATGAAGTTCAGACTCTTAACAAGCCCCTGCAGACTCCTCCCACCTCCCTGCCTCCCTCTTTGCATTCTTCAAGCATTCCGAATTTATTTCAGTTCCAACTTGTCTTTCTACCTCTGGACCTTTGCACATGCTGTTTCTGCCTTCTGGAGCATTTTTCCCATATACCCCCAACCCTCACCACCTTCACTTTTCTTAAACTTCACTTGTACCTTCTGTCACCCATCAGGCCTGGGGGAAATGCCCTGTTCTCTGCCTCCACATTCATCCTATCCTTCCTCTTTCCTAACATTCAGAACGTTTGGGATTCCTAATTTATCATCCGAACCACACCACCACCCAACTTGAATATAAACTCCAGGAGGGTCATCTCTCTTCTGCACTGGCTATATTCCCAGCACCTAAAATAGCACCTAACACAGTTGGTATATGATATTATTATAAGAAAAGAAGTGAATTAAAAAAAAAATCATCTGGTCGGTTCCAAGTTCAGGTCATTAAAGCTTCACTTTCTGATAAAATCTCACATTCCAAAAAGGCCATTTTGCCTGTGATTCTGGTTCCCCCTTAATTAGCAGCAGTTGGGAAAATCAGAGCACCCTTTTCTCCCACTGTTGATGTTAAACAGCTCTCATTAAATGCTCGTGAGATAATAGATGCCACACGTTAAAAAAGATAATTATTTGTCCGAAGAGACGGCTGCACTTTCAGAGAAAATGCTTAGAAAGATTTCTAAAGAAATCTCTGGGACTTGCTCTGGGACTTGCTCTGGGACTAAGCACAGAAGCCCACTGGAAGTTTAACAGATGGGAACGACACCATGGAGTGCCTGTGGGGTGCAGATGGGCCAGAAGGCAGAGGTATTCTCTGCTCTCCTTGTCTTACAGATAAGGTGACGGAGGCTCGTGGGGTGACTGGGCGTGATGGCCACTTGGTCTTGATCCCCCCACTCTTGCTGCCTTTCTCTGTCTCTACCAGCCCTGGGCTGTTCTCCCCACTGAGGAGAGTGATCTGGTGCCTTTCACTCCAGACGAGGGTTGGAACCAACCAGGCCAAATTTGCTGAGTGCCTACTGTGTGCAGGTCAGCGTGCTGCACTGAGGACAGTTACCATTTGCTGATCGTTAACCACTGCCACGTTCGGGTCCTGACAATCCCCAACCCTACAAAAGGAGGTCATGCTCTTATCCCCACCTTATAGATAAATAGACTGAGGCTCATTCCAGGTGCCTTCCGAGTCAGGAGAAGGGCAGGGCACCCAAGAGAGGGCATCATCTGCCAGCCAGCGCAGAGTAGCCAGACGCTCCTGCAAATGTCTACAAAAAGCCTGGTCTTGGCCGGGTGCTCACACCTGTAATCCCAACGCTCTGGAGGGCAGAGATGGGAGGATCACTTGAGGCCAGCACTTCCAGAGCAGCCTGGGCAACGCAGTGAGACCTCATCTCTTAAAAAAAAAAATAAAACAAAAAATTAGCTGGGCGTGTGGTGTGCACCTATAGTCCCAGCTACTTGGGAGGTTGAGGCGGGAGGATCACTAGAGCCCAGTAGTTCAAGATTATAGTGAGCTACAATTGGGCCACTGCAAAAACAAACAAACAAACAAACAAAAAAAACCCTAGTCTTTATCCAGAAACCAAGAAGTGATCTAAAAATTCAGGTGAAGTTCCCCCCTCTGGGTAAGTTTGGGAGTTCCTGACACTGTTCAAAGCACTGTTCATGTATTAAAAGGAGCTGGGGAAAGCAATGAAGAGAAAAAGGAATTTTCTGTGTATTCACACACATCTGCTGTCTGCTTGCCTTTCTGCTGTGTAATTTGTCTACATGTGCATTTTCTAGGCTGGGAGCTTTTAGCAGGCACAGGCTGTGGGTAGACCCAAATGAGCTAGCTTGTGAAACCACGGGTCTTTTTGTTTGTTGAGTCAGGAGCAGGAAATTCACTGATGTGGTTATTCACGGGAATGGCTTCATTCCAGTTTTACTCATTGTGCTTCTGCAAGAGAGAGTGTTTAATAAGGGAGGAGTGGACAAAAATAAAGTTCCGTCCTGTGGCCACACCTTGAGTTCAGAAATTGTTGTCTTGGCCATGCCAGGGACTTGGAATTGTGACTCCAGGGGACTGAGGTGCTGGCTGCTGGCCAAGGATCTAGACTAAGACACTGTTCTGGAAATTAACCTCTGGCTGGTCTGTGGGATTACACTTCTCAGATTTTTTGTATCAGAATTTTTGCATTTTTCTCTTTGTGAATATCAACATATTTGAAAATACCCTTTATGATCTCACTTCATCTTTTCCATATAATATTTCTTCGAAAGAGTTAAGCAGAAAATTAATTTTAAAAATAAGCAAATTCTAGTTCCACAAAAAATTAAAGATAGAATTACAGGCCAGGCATGGTGGCTCATGCCTGTAATCCTAGCACTTTGGGAGGCTGAGGCAGGAGAATCGCTTGAGCCCAGGAGTTTGAGGTTGCTGTGAGCTATGATGATGCCATTGCACTCTACCCCAGGCGACAGAGACCCTATCTCAAAAAAAGAAAAAGAAAGGAAATGTATTGATACCAGAAAAAAGAGAAATAGAGGCAGGAAAAGCAAAAGCAAAAGATGTCCTCTGCGAGTAGCAAATGAATAATGTACGCACCGTTGCAGAGATCTTGTCAACTCAAGAGACCAACATTTGAGCACCATGTCAGTAAGCACGTTGCGTGTGTGCACAGCTAATAACAATTATGTATGATATTGGTCACTTAATTAAAACAGATTCCATCTCTACTTATCAAAATGTTATGAGCTTACTAGAATTTTTTGCATGCTCCGGAAATTAAGAAACTGTATTCATTAAAACACACAAACCTAGAACTTATTTCGACTTCCCCACTTAGTTGGAATTAATAATGTTTTGCTGCGATTAACATTTGTCCAGAAGTCAAAGGTAAGTGAACAAAGAGATTAGATAACAGAAAGGTGCCAAGCCAATTCCCTGGAGTTGGGTCAAAGTCCTAGAATGGCAAATGT